TCTCAATCCCCATTTATCTAAATTAAGATATCTTCTTTTTCCTTAAATAATTGGGGAAAAAAAATCAGATATTTTCATCTGTCCCAGTTGAAACCCAATTGCCAGATTATTACAGGTACATTTTTCGTTAAATTTTTATTGAATTTTATTTCCCAGTAATTTTCTGGAGAATTCCCATCTGGGTTTTTGTAATTGTTGTTAATTTGTTGAATGCATATTAGTAAATACCATTTTAAAAAAAATTTATTGAATGCTTGATGATATATTAAGTGAATTGCAGAAGTTATGTTTGATTGGGGTTTATATTTCCTTTGAAATTGTTTGATCTTAGCTCTATTACATGAACATTGACGCAAAAACAGTGATTTAGGGAAAATGAAATTTCTGGGTTTGACAAATTTGAAGAGATTATCACCTTTTGATGTTCCTTTTAGTGTGTTTTGTACCTTTTAGAAATTGAGAACTTTCTATGTGATTTGTTGTTTGCAAGTTAAAGTAAGCTTATGAGTGAAATTAGGCAAGTGCATTTCGTATAAAATTCTCGTTCATTGGTGAAAATGCAATGTGGTTTAGAGGAAGTAAATTGTAATGCAAATTTTCTTTGAGAGGGGAATTGCTTGACTAGGATTCAGAGGTGGGGAGGAGGAAATGAATTAAAAGACGGATTTCGCTGCCCATAGGCAAGAGAGAAACTTGTTTGATCTAGCATTGCACTTTATATCTTGATGAAATTTTTATTGATTCTGCTTTCAGCTGTTGAAATTATTAATTTTGGTGGCTTGTTCATGTATGATGTATCAATTTATTCCTAAAACAACACGTTAGAGTGACTCGTGATTAATGTATCTGATTGATTTAATCAGTATCAAAATGTTTCAGAAAATGTTTGACAGAATAGAAACAATTTGATAAGGGTATTGTCGAAGCAGGTAAGAAGAATGCAACAAGGGATTATGATGATTTGGAGACCATTTAATATAGCGAAGGGGCATGCTAATACAGTTGTACTTATGTTTTTATTTTTGGTTACAGTATGGTTAGCTATGACTGAAGAAGTTTTTCGGGTGTGATTAGGCATTTTAGTTTCATTAAATGTCAATGTGATCACAATGTTGTAGCTCTATTAGTGTGTGGCTGTTTTTGGCTGGAATGAATGCTCTTTTCTGGTTATATTAGTATTTCTATACTTCTCTGGATTATGAAGAGGTGAAAATATGTTCTTAGGATAGGTTTCCCTATTGCACATTTTTATTCGTAACCCTTACCTCCATCCTGTCCTTCATTCCATCACCTGCCCTCTAATTTTCATGTTTCCCCCCCTCCCTTTTATCTGTGAACCAAATACCTCCTAAAGGAAACCAATGTAATCTGTTATCCAAGTGATATGAGAGAATAAGACTTTTCTGATTCTCTGAAGTTTTTTTACTTAAATTGAGTGTTTTTGATTAAATTCTTAGCTTGAATATCAAATAGAAAGGTTGAACTTGACCTCCCAAGTCACTGGCACATTGCTAGCTGTAGGATCCTTTCTATCCCGTACTATCATTTGAGATATAACATTTTTTGGGATCAATGTAAAACTTCATTATTCATTCAAGATCTAAGACAGAAAACTTTTGCGTTAAGACAGAAAACTTCGTTATGGATCCTGTTCTACAGGCCTAATTTACAGAGTATAAGTGTCAATACGATATTTGCAGTGCATTGAATTGAAGTACCAATGTTTACTAGGGCTGTAAATTGTTCAACTCTATCCAACTTAATAAGGTTGATTTTTTTGGTTCATGTGGATTTTATTTAGAAGTTTTCTGAAGTTTGCCAGTGCTTGGCTTTTATCATTATGATTTATGATGTGTAATAGACTGGCCTTAGGAGGGGTAATTTGGTAATTAGGTTACGGTCTTTAGCTTTAGTATAAATAGGGAAATGGGGAAAAGGCAAAGATAGGCAGAAATTTGTATTGAGGGAAACTTTAGAGAGTCATGAGTTCATGACCTCAAGCCATTGTTGGAGAATGGAGAGTTGTGTTTGAGAATAATAGCCTAAAGCTATTAGCTATCTTCGTAAATCTTTTGCCATTTTCAATTATTAGTAAAGCTTCCATCTTTCTTATTTCTTCTTTAAATAGCAATTTACCAAAAGTCAGATGATTTAGCCAATCAAAGAACCAATATTTTCTCTTTATTTTGCTGTTATTAGTGTGAGTAATTCCAGTTTATTACATGATGGTGTTGAGTTACCATACAACATTATTTTTGATGGGTTATAGTTAGGACTTGAGCTCTAGATTTAAAACTTACCCAAATGACTCGGGAACTGTTAGCCACTTGGCCTTTATATTTTGAGAATTTGAGCTGTCTTAGTAGAGTGCAGTTCATATGATGCTTGATAAGAAGTCTCCTCGGTATCTATGTTTAAAGTATATGCTTCTTTAATGATTTTAATCAGCTGGTTGGCTTGTTATCCCTGAAAACAACTATAAACTGTGTTTCATCTTTTGATATTTATGCTAGGACAAGCTCAGCATGTTGTTAATTTTTGCATCTGCTTTGTCGTTAACATCTCAAATTACCTTGGGCTAGATGAATTTTTACAACCTTGAAGCTTGACAACTTTTAGCATCTGCCTACTTATTCTAGGCCATCTGGCCATGTCTTCGAGAATGTCTATGCATCATGGAATGTACATGTTTAGGTATTTTAAGGTTTCTTTCTTGTTATACCAGTGTAAATGGTGTTTTTCCATCATGTTGGTTTCGATCACTAAACCTTAGTCTAGACATCACTAAGTCAGTTCGTTCAGCCATTACTTTGATTGAAAGTTGTATCATAATCCCTCTATCTTGATCTTGCATGAAATTCTGCCTCAACACGTCTTTTCCTGTTCATTAGCTAATTGAAGGTTACCATCTATCTGTTTAGGAATGGACTTGATTCATAATTTCCAAGAATATGCTGCTGAGCGCCAATCGAGCGGAGATGCAATGGTAAATAAAACTTGTAATTCTGGTGTAGCACTAGCACCACCCTCAGAATCTGAAAGTAGTCAAGGCTCTTTTGACTGCAATATATGCTTTGACTTGGCTCATGATCCTGTTGTCACACTCTGTGGTCACCTCTACTGCTGGGCATGTATTTTTAAGTGGCTCCATGTGCAGAGCTCCTCCTCACAGCCAACTCAACAGAAGACTTGCCCTGTCTGTAAGGCAAACATCTCACAAACTTCATTAATTCCCCTTTACTGCCACGGCCCCTCCCGCAGTGAAGATGAGGTTAGGAAGTCTCAACATGATGTTATACCTCCAAGACCTGCAGCAAATTCTCCTTCAAGTCAACATCTTTCATCAAACCCATTCGAATCACAACACCCAGAGTTCCGATATGCCTCAATATCATCGTCGAATTATGTGAGTCCTACTATGGCTGGAATTCTTAATCCCACAATTGGATTGCTCGGAGAGTTGGTTTACACAAGGATGCTTGGAAGCACAGGTACCAACTTATTCACCTCCCCTCGTTCAAATTCTTATGCTATTGTTGGGCATAACAATCCTCGGATGCGGAGGCAAGAACTGCAGCTAGACAAGTCCCTTGACAGAGTTTCAAAGTTTCTTTTGTGCTGTGTAGTCTTATGCCTGCTTCTGTTCTGAAAAATGTGAGTCTTTTGTATAGCTGTAAAGATTGTATAATACTACCGCTCGTTATGGAGTTGTTGAAACTCTTTAGAAAGGAAGTGTAAGATGAGCTTGGATCAGGTGTTTGTGAATCGTAATGTTCCCAATCATTCCAATATACTGCAGGGCGTCTCTGGTTCTTGAAGCGAACTTTGCAAAAAATTTCATTCCAATATTGGTTATGAATAATACTGTCCATTGAATAAATTACTGTCAACTTTAATTCCTCTCATGGGTTTGTGCTCTTTTGAGGTCAATAAATAGTTCCTGCTGCATTTGAGGGAATTGTGCCTGCACTCAGTTTCTAGTAAACTACTCTGCATTCCCTCTGTCTGGCAGTAATCAAGACTTCCTGACCCGACCCTCATAACTCGACCCGAAAATTGACTTGAAATCATTTACCTGAACTGGAACTAACCCGATCCAACCCGTACCTGAACCGAAGTGGAGTTGACCCAAATGTGACTCAATGCCCAAAGTGACCCAACCCGAATCAATTGACCCAACTTTTGTTGGCCAACTCTCAAGTTTAATGGTTCAAATCATGCAAAAATCAATCCTAATGTAACAAACTAGCAATGGTGCGAATAATGTGTAATTTTGCAATTGAAAAAGAATCCCAATTTATTATTATTGTTATTGTTATTATTATTAAAGTTTACAGATCGTTTTTAAAGAGAAAAATTAGGGGAAAAATCAGTCAAAAGGGTCAAAATAAGTGTTAGGTGGGGCCTACAGACATAAAATCTACGAGATTTTGAAATGGGTGGTAATCTGAACATTTATTTAATTTAAGAGGTGGTAATTTAAAATAAAAAATTAAACGGGTGGTTAGTTCGAAAATGGTTACATTTTTGGGTGGTAATTTAAAAATTAACCTAATAATAACATTATTATTAATAGTAAATAAATAATAATAATAATAATAATAATATAATGTTAATAATAATAATAATAATAATAATAATAATAATAATAATTTAAATCATTAAGTTAATATATGAAAATAGTAATAACAAAAATAAATAAAATAATAATAATATTAATAATTATAATAAAATAGAATTATAATAATACTAATGTAATAATAAAATATAGTATTAAAGAATGATGATAATATATAGTAACGATGAGTAATGTAATAAATTTCATAATTATAGTTTTTTTTTTTTTTTTTTTTCTGAAATAAATTTCTAATTATAGTAATTCTATAACAATAATAATTATCAAAATAAATAATAACTAATAATATAATAATAAGTATTAATAAATAATATCAATAATTATATCACAATAATCATAAATTAATTATAGAGCTGAATTGGACAGAATTAAAATATATTGAATGGATCTAAATTGATTTGAATTGAATTAAACTGAATTGAAGTAAATTAATCTAAAAGGAACTGAATTGAATCGAACTAACTAAATTCCAAAAGAACAAGGCATGTTGGGAAAAATCAAGAAATCATGATTATACGACACATTCTTTCTCTTTTTTCCTATCTATAGTAGGGACCAATTTATCAAGTAGTTTGTACAAAAAAGACTTTCTGCTTGATATTATGGCTACGAGAGAGCACATGAAGAGAACAAGGATGGCTGCCCATAATGACTTTTGGTGTATCACAGCGTAGATTCCAGTCACAAACGCCATCAAGGTTCCATAAAAAGAGTGCACGAGTACGAGCACACTGCGGTCAATTAGTACCTGTGACTCATGTTGATCCGAGACAATAGACCATACTAGGCAGAATAAGGCTAACATTGCACAACACATAGCATATGTGTCTGCCAATATGAACACTATAAAGTAAGCCTTTGTTGCTAGAATAGCTTCTCCGGTATCTTGGTTAAAGCCTCCAGGGATTGTAAACGCAGCTGCAAATGTAAGTGTTGCAAGAAGGGCCGCCACGACTGATAGTGTAGTTCTCATTTCTGTGGCTGATGAACCTAGATTTTGTAATCTTGGATTGATTCCCAAACGTCTAGACATCTTGTCCTTCAATTAACAATTTAAACAAAATACCACACAATTTAAAATAGGTTCGTTGTTACCATCTAATTTGAATGAACGTATAAATCAGCCTAATATTAGTTTTTTTTTTTCCCCTAAATGACATAACTTGTTTTAAGATGTCCATTGCCAAATCACTTTGAACTTTAATAATGAGTTAAAAGAATTGTAGAATGAATTAAGAAGAAGAAATATGTAAAATCAAACAAAGTTACTTCGTAAATTTTATGTTAGACACAAGTTTTATAATCATTTAAAGAGGGGGATTAGGAGACACGACAGCAAATAAATTGATCATTGTAAAAATAATGAGTACCAAAGGGTAGAAAGCAATCAAGCAAGCTAGTATTCTCATATGTACACGGTCATAGCCTAACATAACAATTAATTTAAAATTTGTCAGAAATGTCCTTTTTAGTGATCGACTTTTTGAGAAAAATCTTTACATAAAAAAAATGTGGCAAAAAAGGTTTCATATGTAAAAGTATGTGACACGGTGAGTATAAAACTAAATGAGACAGAGGGAGTAATAGTTTAGAAGAAGTTGACGTACCCATTCATAATCTCGTTTACATAGCTTTGCTAACAATTTTGCAGCACTTTGATTCTTTTTATCCCTGATATTGCGATCAACCCCATTTTTTAGTAGTACTTCTGCTAGCAAGATATCCTTTCTCTCAAGTGCCCAATGCAAAGGTGTTTTACCTTCATTATCAGGACTGTTTCTCATTTCCCAAATAAAAGGAACTTTTAGAAATTTTTCATAGTCTTGGTAACTAGCCAATTTAATATGGTGTAGGGGTGAATCTTGTTCTGCTATACAAAGCTTCTTGAAATCTGGGTGATACTTTATGAAGGCTTCAAGAGCTTCTACGTGACCTCGACCGCAAAGTGTGATCCAAACATTAGGGGAGCTTTTGATTGAGGATGGATGTTCTGTTATCAACAACTTTGTAAGCCATTCTGGACCAACTTCTGATGTCATCTCAATGGTTGTCTTCTTGTTTGGGTAACGCTCATTGAACACTAGATAAGGAAATGTTTTTAGCAACAATTTGGCTGTAGTATCTGCAAATAAACTTTCAACATAATTATACTTCATTTTGTACTAGATTTACATTTTGCTACTTGAAATTTTCAGATTTACATTTTGCTTGATAAGCGAAATAACCTTTTTTTTTTTTTTTTTTTTTTTTTATGCAAAAGAGAGGCAAAGCCCCAAAAAAACAAACAAGAAAGTACTAAACAGAAATTAAACGTGGCAAAGCCACCCTACAATATCATCATGTAATATATGTCCTAGTTCAATAGGGGGGAATTGAATCAACTCGATAAGCAAAATAACCTTTCTACTCCTATACAAAACAAGAACGCTTAGCTTCAATCAAGGGTGTTGTTTCATCATACTTTATCTGACAGTAACTTTTTTTACTTTCGCTTATTAATGTATAATTTCAACGTTTAATGACTTTGAATAGGATAAGTATATTTATACACTATCAATATTTTGAAAAAAAAAAAAATAAAAAAAAATAAAACATTGTAATTAATCTATGTCCTGCTAGATATCTTGTTTCTAGATTTACTAAATAACCGGACAGTTTTACAATATGTACAAATAACATTGTGACCTCTATAATTGAGTGAATCTGATCTCAACCCTTCAATTAGCAAGATTAATCTTATTTATTCATTTAGTCGACTTTTAAGAAAAAAAAAAAAGTTAAAAACCATATCAAAATTCAAAATCAGTAAATTCGGAAATGTCTATTGAAAAGGAATTTCAGCAAAATTTTAGACGATGAACAAATAACTTTAGAACTTTTTTTTTTGTTACATTATTTTCGCCCTCAAGTTTATAGTAGTGCGTGAGACATTATTCCAGAGAAGATATAAAACATAGGAGAATGATGATGAATTCTCACCATTTCAAATTTAACATATTTAATGACATGCATCATTTGTAAACCGTGATTTTAAAACCAGATTACTAACAATTAGATTCTCACCTTGGCACTTGAGCACGAGGTGTAAGAGCGTTGGCTGCTCGCGGTCCGTATTGGTAGTTCCAATTCTGGAAAACGCTGAGTATTCAGCGATACGAAATTTCAGAGAGCCTTCAGCAACACAGCTGCATATTTGTTGCACTACTCGATCCATTCCAGCTTCAATAGCGAGGAAGAGCCGCGATTGCCAATGACTGTCATGCTCTATGTAAGTCCAAGAGTCTTTAGAAATGAACAGAAATGCTAGATCTTCATCTCTATTACGCAATGCCATGTCAAGAGGGGTGATTCCATCTTTGTTCTCACATCGCCAAAGCGGGGGATCAAGTGGCGTACATTTTTCCACAAGATAAGATGCAAACTCTTGGTAACCATGATTTACAGCAGCATGTAGAGGTGTGTTACCTTCTTGGTCTACTGAACGGCTTAAATTCTCCAAGGCATTAATGTCAACCTCTTCCAATAATTGAAGTAGCCATGACAACTTGCCTTTGTGTACCCAGTAATGGAGGAACGAGAAATCGTGTTGATCAGTTTTCAGCAAAAGTTCTGAGTGCTTCTTGTACATTATTCCCCAAACTTCTTCTGTAATAACAGATTATAATGACTTTTTAGGGTAAGCATGCATATGTTTGGTTAGGGCAAATAAGTGTTATTCAAGTTCGATTAAGATAAAATAACTTTAGGTCCAATAAACTCAAATAAGATAAGAGGCTAATAAGTTTACATAAGATTAGAGCATTCTTAATGTATACAAAAGGGACTTGCTTACAAGTTAGATTAGGCAACTCTATTCAAATAAGTTAGGTTGCTTGGTTTTTCAAAGAAAACTTTAGTTAAGTTAGATAAAAACTACTTTATTTATTTTTCCAAACTAGAATATGCAATTCAGCATTGGAGCACAATCTAGGTACAAAATATAATAGCTTAAAAACTTGATGTATCAATGTAAGCTACAAGTTACCAATTTATTAATGAAGATGCTCTTAGATGAATGATATCCAGGTGAAGTAAAAACTACCTTAATTAAACGAAGATGACAACTCAAAAACAAACTAGTCTAGCGTATAGTTAGTTTGTTAGTTCACATAAATACATAATATAAGATTAGCTAGCTTATTATCAGATTATAAATCATTTGATGAGATAATAATAACACTGTAACTTTAAACAGCCGAAAATTTCTCTCTATTTTTTCTCTGTTAAGTATATATACTTTTTACAATGAAATTACACTTATGCTTGAAGAAGCTATGATGGAAGTTTAGATTCTGCTGATTTACTTTACTTTCGGAGCACAGAGCACTATAGTATAGATTTCAATAAATAAAGTGTTTTTGTCGAGTCTAATTTGATCTGATAAGAAAACTGAAATATAGATTAGAAATCTAATTTGGGTAAAACTAGGAAAATTTTTAGTTCAAACAGGTGATTTCGTTGATATTATTTCTCTCAATTGTCTTTTCTTTTCCTTAGTCTACCACCAAAGACTACCCTCTTTTACTACAGTGAGCAAAAGATAAAACAGTGAGCAGAGGGCACTTACTTGAGCAATTCTTTACTACCCCTTCAAACATTTCACCAATGACATTATAAGAACAATCGGATTCCAAGATCTTTGCAACAAAAACATTCAATCCGTTGTGCACAGCTATGTAGAGAGGATCCCATCCGTTTTTGTCAAGCATGGTACAAAGCAATTCCATATCCATTGACAGAATTTCCAAAGCACATCCCTCCTTATTATACACGAGGGCCATGTGCAAGGGAGTTGCACCATGCGATTGACAAGCTAACCATGGTTTTCCGCCAGGAGGATCTTCGGTAATAGGATCATTACTGTCAGATTTATAAACACTGAGCATGAGCTGGATGATCTCAAGGCAGCCCCAGCAAGCTGCTAAATGAAGAGGGTTGCTACTTTCCCTCGTCTCTTGTTGGGAGAGGAGAAGTTTGACATCCTGTTTGGGTAACCTCAGAATCGCTTCTCTTATGAAAGGAAGAGGGTTACAGCATGATCCAAATCGATTTAACACAAGGTGGAAGATGTTACCACCTTGGTAACATAGATCTGGAGGCGCCCAGGATAGGAAGTATTCAGTTGGTTTAGAGTCAAGAGCTTTTCGTAACAAGTCTACATTTCCAAATATTGCTGCTTCCTTTAACTCTGAGTCCATACCACCATCCGCCTCCCTTTTACTAGCACTTGCTACTGGTTGCTCTGCCACCATTAATCTTGTTGGAAACTCAGTACTTACTAGTGTTATCTCTCTTGTTTTAGTTGATTAATTCATCTATAAACCTTTTTTTTTTTTTAAAAAAAAGTCAAGCCACTTTTTTGGTAGTAGTAAACAATTTTAATCCATTGAATCTACATATATAGTATTAGTGACCTATTGACCCGGAACATGCGCTACACTGCTATCTATCCACACACAAATGTATTGATTTTATTCTACTACTATTACTTAATTAAAAATAACATACTATCTCCGTTACAGGTTATGTGCAACGATTTGACATAAAACAGAGAAGGAAAATGTCTAATCGTTGCACATAACCTGTAACGGAGGTAGTACTTATATACTTATACGCGGAAATCACGGGTAGGAAGACTATATTATAAGATTACTAGTCACTTTTTAGTATCCTTAAAATTCTGACTTTTACCTAATCTCATACGTATGTTCCTTTTTATTTTTATTTTATTTTTTTTTGTTTTAAAAATAGATCTCTTTCAAAATCACTTTTTGTATTCATTGTTTGGGTGCCAAAAATGGTTAATCATTTTGGGACTCATTTCTCAGTTGGGTCACCAAGCCCAATATGCTTAAGTCATGGCTAATGCAGGCAGATCAGTCCAAACTCCAAAGGCATTAATTAAGTCCATCAAAGGGGTACATGTGCTCAGGACTTGACATGTGTCCTAAAGAGCCCATGCGCTCCTGAAATGTGATCAATTGCATCCAAGCTAAGAGAAGTAGAGAACTAGCTGTCAAGTACGACATTGTCGTATTATTGATATAGTGGCTTCATGAGCACATCCATAAGCAATTTACCCCAATGGTCTGTTCTCTTCTTCTTATTTTCAATTTAGTTCAGTGCAGTTCAGTTCAATTCAGTTCAGCTCCTAATTTTCTCTCTCATAAAATATTCAATTCAGTTCAATTCAGTTTAGTTTAGCTTAGTTCAATAAATCAGAACTGACCCCTAATCACTTCTTGTCATCAAATAAAGTCTTTCATGGAGGGAGGGGTGAATACAATCAAGGAAGCCTACCTGTGGGATATTATATTGGTTGTTGTTGAAAAATAATCTATAAAGGATTTTTTTGTGAAAAACTACCTTATAAGAACAATGTTATAACAAACTAACTTATAAAAACTAAATGTTATAAATTGCTACCATGTGCTTAATTCAACAATGAAAGAGAAGGGGAATTAAAGATTGCAAGGGGGCTATAGAGAAATTAGGTGGAAAAGGAGAAAAAAACAATTGAAAATGGGTCATTAAACATCTCTTATTCAATGCAATAATTCAGTAAAAGATAGATTTTTACAACATTAATTGTTTTATAAGATAGTTTCTTACAACATTTATGGTTTAAAAGGTAGTTTCTTATAACATTTTTTTAATAAGATAGTTTTTGACAAATCTGACTTGTATAAGGTAATTCTTCACAAAAAGTTCATCTATAAACAAATACCTAACTATGAGGTTAAAAAAAAAAAATGAGAGTGAGGTAGAGCTTCCCTCCCGATTTCAGGAGATCCTGGGATCGATTCTCACCCCACCCTTTGTGGCTCTCTAAACACCAAAAAAAAAAAAAAAAAAAAAATTTAAGTAGAGGAATGACAATGTATAGGCTTGGTAAAAATTGTTTATAAACTAGCTCAATACATATTCCATTTTTTTCCAAAAAAAAAAAAACTAACAATATTGTAAAATGCTAGTACTGGTTAAATAACTAAATAAAACTCATAAATGGCCAACAACAACACAACCATTAATTAACACACTTGAAATTAGATAAGTAGGCAAAAACCCTAGCCTCTCTCTCCTCTCCTCTCTTCTCTCAACTCTCTAAAACCCTAACCCCCATTGTTGAATTTTGAAGGGGATTCCATCGGGCTTTAGCGGTGGAAAGCCCCAATTGTTGCTTTTGTGTGCCAATAAGTGGTTTAAAAGGCACCGGTTCAAACCGGTGCCAAAACTCGGAATTGGCACCGGTTAACCGGTGCCAAAAATGGCCAAAAAAAAATATTTCATATATGTATATACATATATATATATATATTATATATATACATATATACATATATATATACATATATATACATATACATATACATATAATTGGGGAAGAATTGAGTTTGTTATTAATTGCCAACTAACTCACACTTATTACATGATATATATCGTAAGTGGAATTACACGTCATCTTCTACTACTAACCGACTTAATTCAACAACAATTAACAAAATTGTAACTAATTTTTCCCGCGCAAAATAGCTAACAAAGACCCTTATCTAATCTGCCATATCATAGCTTTCCCCCTCAAAAAGACTTGACCTCAAGTCTTAAGGAACAACAAATTCTGGAAAATTCTGCTCAAACTGCTCAGCTGGTTCCCAAGTAGCTTCAAAAACAGGAAAACCCTCATATTGAACCAAATATTGCACCCGAGATTTATTCTGAAACTTCACAATCTTTCTGTCCAGAATAGCAGCAGGCTTAATCTTGTCAGAACCAACTTCAAAGCCTTGATACACAGGTGGAATATGAGAAACTAACGGCAAAGTTACTTGAAACAACTTCAATTGAGACACATGGAAAACATCATGTATCTGCAGGAATTTTAAGTTTATAAGCCACTTTTCCAATCACAGCTGCAACTTGAAAGGGTCCATAAAACTGGTAAGATAACTTCTGATTTCCTCTCCTCTGGACTGAATGTTGTCTGTATGATTGCAACTTTAACCAGACCCAATCTCCTACCACAAAAGACCTCTCAGATCTATGCTTGTCAGCTTGAGCTTTCATCTTATTCTGAGCTCTTGCTAGATAGAATTTCAAGTCTGCAATCATTCTTTCTCTCCTCTGTAGGCTTCTGTCAAGCTCATCATTCTTTACCTCTCCAGCTAAAGAAGGTAAATGCAAGGGAAGAGGCTGATTATACACCACCTCATAAGGGGTCAGTTGAATAGCAGTATGAAAATGGGTGTTATACCACCATTCAGCCAAGAACAACCACTTGTGCCATTCCTGAGGTTGATCACCTGTCATACACCTTAAGTAAGCCTCAAGACATCTATTGACCACCTCAGTTTTACCATCTGTCTGAGGGTGATATGCAGTAGACAACAACAACTCTGTGCCATGCAAAGTAAACAATCCCTTCCAAAATTGACTCAAAAATACAGAATCCCTTTCACTTACAATGGATCTAGGCCATCCATGTAACTTAAAAAATTGTCTAAGTAACACTGAGCCACTTGGAGTGCAGTAAAAGGATGAGACAAAGCCATGAAGTGAGCATACTTACTCAACCTGTCAACTACCACAAAAATAACCTCCTTTCCAGCAGACTTAGGAAGGCCTGTAATGAAGTCCATAGAAATGTCCATCCAAACTTCTTCAAGGATTGGCAAAGGCTGCAAATGACCAGGAGAAGCAGATGTATCATATTTTGCAGCTTGACACACAACACACTTCCTCACAAAAGAGCTCACATCCTTGGTTAACCCTCTCCAGCAAAACAGTCTTTTTACTCTTCTCAATGTCAGTTCCCTACCACATGTCCACTCTCAGGAGACTTATGATGCCAAGACAAGATTTTATGTCTAAGTTGGTTGTCAAGACCTACAACTATTTTTCCTTTCCTTCTTAGAAGAGTTCCATCCCATTGAAAACTTGTAACCAAAACTCCATTTTGTAAACTCTGTATGATGGCAGTATAATTGTCATCCAACTGATAACTGGAAGCAATGAGAGATCCCAATTTGAATCTAACACTGTCACAGCCAAACACAAAATCTCATAACCTTGTAGCCTAGACAAAGCATCAGCTGTTATATTCTCCTTCCCACACTTATACTGTATTTCATAATCAAAACCCATCAGTTTTGATAACCAGAATTGTTGAAATGGAGTTGAAATCTTTTGTTGCAGCAACCATTTGAGACTCTTCTGATCTGTCTTGATGATAAAATGGCCCCCAACAAGATACCGCTCCCATTTCTGAACTGCAAAGACTATAGCTAGCAATTCCTTGTCATAAACAGAAAGTTTTTGCCATTTTGGACCCAATGCTCTTCTAATATAAGCTAAGGGATGCCCTTCCTGCATTAACACAACCCCAATACCAGACTTAGAAGCATCAATTTCCAGAATAAACTGTTTAGAAAAATCTGGAATAGCCAAGACTGAAGCTGAAACCAGAGCAGCTTTTAGTAACTCAAAAGCTGTTTGTGCTTCTTCAGTCCAATTATAACCATTTTTCTTTAACTGGTCAGTTAAAGGATTGCTCAAGACTGCATATCCTTTCACAAACTTTCTGTAATAACCAGTCAATCCTAAAAAACTTCTAAGTTCTTTGACATTAGATTGAGTGGGCCAACTGTAGACTGCAGCCACCTTCTTTGGGTCTGTCTCTACACCATTTTCTGTAATATAATGTCCCAAGTACTCCACCTTGTTTGTAGTAAAGATGCATTTGCTCTCCTTAATGAACATACAGTTTTCCTTCATCAAAGAAAACACCTCAGCTAAGTGCTTCCAATGTTCCTTCAAGGTCTTACTGTAAACTAAGATATCATCAAAAAAGACAAGTACATAGTTCCTCAAAAGTGGCCTGAAAACATTGTTCATCCAACCTTGAAAAGATGCAGGAGCATTAGTCAGTTCAAATGGCATGACTAAAAACTCATAATGACCTGTATGAGTTTTGAAAGCTGTCTTAAACACATCACTTGGATTCACCCTCATCTGATGGTAACCAGCTTTTAAATCCAACGTAGTAAAAACTCTACCCCCCTGCTAATTCATCAATCAACTCATCTATAACTGGAATTGGAAATTTGTTCTTGACAGTCCTGTTATTAAGCTACCTGTAATCTACACACAATCTCCAAGTGCCATCTTTCTTACCAACCAGAACTACAGGTGAAGCAAAGGGACTTGAACTATTCTGTATAATGCCCCTGTCCAGCATCTCTTGTACCAATTGTGTTCAATGATGTCCCTTTGTTTCAAAGGATATCTATAAGGTCTTATGTTCACTGGAGTGCTCCCAGGAACCAAGGAAATTGAGTGATCAAATACT